TAAAGTAGTCATTGGACTAGTCTACATTAGATAGACCGGTCAGTAGACTTATGGATGCTAAATAATAATAATGGATACTAGACTAGTAAATAGGCCAGTTCAGACAAATAAATAGTTGGTGGACTAATGAATAGGTTAGACAATATAATAGTATGTAGTTTGACTAGACAATAGAGTAGTCAATAGGCTAGTCTATAGACTTGTAGACAAATTAGTCAATAGGCCAGTTCAGACAGTGAATAGTGTCAATAGTAGACTAGTCAATTGACTAGACAATAGACCAGATAATAGACTAGTCAATATACTTATCCACAATAGATATACTGGTTTGCAAAATTGCCAAGAAATAAAGTCGAAAAAACGAGTCAGTAAACTAAACAAAACAACTAGTAAGTAGATAACTTCAGGCATGTAAATAGTTGAATGAATGAATTGATCAGACAAGAGACTAATTAATACACTAATCAATACACTATTTATACTAGTCCACAGACAGGTCAATTGGCCAGTAAATAGTTGCTAGTAGACTGGTTCACAGACTAATAGTAGACAAACTAATGTATAGACTAGTCAATAGTGTAAACAGTAGACTAGTCAATGGACTAGTCAATAGACAGGATAATAGACTAGAGACTTGACTAGATAACAGGCTAAACAGTAGACTAGACAATATACTAGTCCACTATAGATAGACTGGTTTGTAAACTTGCCATTATATAAAGTCGAAAAGCAAATTAGTCAAACCATTAGTCCATAAATTGATTCATAGGTCAGTCAATAAACTAAACAATGTACAAATCAATAGACAAGTTAGCTGATTAGTCGATAGACTAAACCACAAACTAGTTAGTGGGCAAGCTCAGACATGTAAATAGTTGATAGACTAATGAATAGATCAGACAAGAGACTTGTCAATAGACAAGTTCATAGACTAGTCGAAACATAGTACATAGCTGATGGTAGACTATTCCACAGACTAGTCAATAGGCCAATTCAGACAAGTTAATAGTTGATAGACTAATGAATAGACTATTCAATAATGTAAACAGTAGACTAGTAAATGGACTAGACAATAGACCAGATATTAAACTAGAGAAGAGACTAGTCTATAAACTAGTCCATAGACTATTCAACAGACAGTTTTGTAAACTAGCCAATAGTTAAAGTCGAAAAGTAATTTAGTACTTTTAACTCTAAAAAAAAGTACTAGTTTTGGTATTTTCGAAAATTCAATTTTCCATAGGTACTATACATAAGCGATTCAATAGACTATGTAGTACATATGTACATTTAGCTATTTTAAACAGAAAACTTCGTAAAGAAATTTTTTTAACTTTTAATCTCTAAAAAGTACTATTTCAGTTAATAAAATGTTCAATACCTCTTCGGGTTTAAAACTTTTATTATTGAGCATTAAAATTGATTTACTTTTGTCTGTTAAAATTTCTATAAAATAAACTAAATTCTACATTTTCATAATGTTTATTTTACCCATTTTGTATACATAGTATTATTAATTATTTTTTAAGTTTTATTTTTAATTTTAATAATATTCATTTTAATTTACCTTAAAACCAATAACTAATAATAATAAATGACTATTTCTTTTATTAATTATAAATAGTCCAATTGTTTAATGTTGAGTAATTTCTTAAAAAATATATTAAATAAAAATAGTTGGCAGGAAAATCCAGATTAAAAATAGTACATACTTTAAAAAAAAAAGTTGTTTAAGAATATTTGTAGTAAAAAAAGTAAGAAAGTTAATGGGAAAATTTTAACTAAAGATACAGATTACAAACCAATATAGATTTTCTAACTAAAGAATTTTTATTAATTTGTAAATGAAGTTTCTAAAATTGGTGTAATGAAAATTAAAAAGGTTGTTGAAGGATGTATACCATCCATTATGACGGGGCAATGTCTGAACTATTAGACGAATGAGGCAAAACTTTCCAACCCTATCCCTTTTTTTAACAGTTGTTGAAAAATATTGATGAAATATTGTACTTTCCTATCTGGCCTCATATTTCATACCGCGAAATCAAGTTCCTGTAGATTTGAGATATATTTGGGATTCAAATCTAGACAGACATGGGATTCAAATCTAGACAGACATGGGATTTTTTCTTTTTAATTCTTTTTAACCTAAATCTACTTTATAGCAGTTTTAATGTTTGTTTTTATACAGAAATAATTGATTCACATTTCCCATTTAGAGCATAATTTTATACGATTTCATATGCACCCTTATTCGCAAAAGTTATACACACAAGAGAAGAGAAAACGACATTCAGGATTGATTCAACGGAGCCTCTAATACAAAAAAGTTATGCTTGGCATGCATTGCGGAGCCCATCAACTGATCTTAAAGTAAGAATGACTTTTTCCGCAACATCCCTGAAGGAACAGTTCAGCCAACAATATGTTGTGAACCTTTCCTGGTGTAGTTGCTATTTAGCGGTATCTTGATCCCTGCAGTCCTTTCATTTTGTCAGTTTTTAATGTTTCTTCGTTGAACATCATTAAGGGAAGAAGTCTACACGGGATAACCACTGAGCGATCGTGTTATACATATATAATTAACAAAAGGTTTCATTATCCACACCCCAAGAGCTGCAATTTATGCGTGATTGCTGCGGATGTAAATAGACAGATGCGCAGTTAGTTAGATTACTTCCTTTGTTCAGTTGGTAGGTTATAACAAAACTATGGAAACTTAATCCGTCGGTTCTAGAAATTGGACACCTTCTACTGCATTTAGTCTATAATCTGTAGGGCTTAGTGTGCAAGTAACAGCACTGTGTGTGTTAAGCCTTTTGCTCCCTCCTGATCGTATTTTCTCCTCGTATAAGCGAAAAACCCTCCAGACATATCTTATGGGAGCATCAAACTGTGTGATGTTAATGTCAGGAAGACTTCTCCGGTTATATTGCAGAAGTAAGACTAGAAATTGGACACCTTCTATTGCATTTTGTCTATAATCTATTGGGCTAAGTGTGAAGTAGAGTGGGCTGGGCAGTGGAATATGTGCTGGGCATATGTATTAGGAACAGCACGGTAGGCGTTGTCTTCTGCTACCTTTCGATCATATAAGCGAATTACCCTGCTGACATGTTTAGGCAGAACATCAAACTGTGTGATGTTAAAGTCAGAAAGATTCCTCCGGTTACATTCTAGAAGTCAGCCTAGAAATTGGGGACACCTTCTACTGTATTTTGTCTACAATCTATTGGGCTAAGTGTGCAGTAGGGTGGGCTAGGCAGTTGACTATATGTTGGGTATATGTATTAGGACCAGCACGGTAAGCGTTAAGTCTCTTGCTATCTCCCGATCGTATATTCTCCTCATATAAGTGAATTACCCTGCTGACGTGTTTAGGGAGAACATCAAACTGTGTGATGTTAAAGTCAGAAAGACTCCTCCGGTTGCTGACATGTTTAGGGAGAACATCAAACTGTGTGGTGTTAAAGTCAGAAAGACTCCTCCGGTTGCTGACATGTTTAGGGAGAACATTAAACTGTGTGATGTTTAAGTCAGAAAGATTCCTCCGGTTGCATTCCAGTAGCCAACATAACATTATCACAACTATCGCCAACAAACAATTCACGTGAAATATGATCACTTTTCCATTTTTTAGTTCACTAACTTTTTTGACGTGAAAAAAATTCCCCTGTTGAGAAATTTGTTGATTGAGTTTTGTAAACAATGAACAGCTGTTGCATACAAAATCAACTATTGTGTATGAATTGTTCACAGCAAGTTTATGATAGCATTTTTTCCTTTGAGTGGAATGACAATTTCACTTCTATTGGCGATAGGGGTGAATGTTTCTTAACTAAGAAGACTTCGGTTTCCTCGTGTAGATGGAACTCATAGGCAACGTGTGCATGTACGTTGCCGTAAATGTGATGAATATAAAACTTTTATTTCAAAGTTGACACATTAGACTTTCAGGAAATATACAGGCCTGTTAAAGAATTCCATTCCGATCGACTTAAAAAATAATAGCTTTAAACTATTGCCAACTCCACGTTGAAAATTTGTGGACAGGCCCCATAAATTAGGAAACAGGCCCCATAACTTTAAAAATTAAGATCTCCTCGCTTTGTTATAATGTCTCAAATATGGCCAAACCCCGAGTTATATTTTCAAACTTAAATGATTCAACATTTGCTTTTGTTTGATTGCACAGGCCATTAAATTATTAACCTAGAGACTAAATGTAAACATTTCTAAAAGATTGACTTGCGCTAAATCCGAATCACGCCTGAAAATTTCATCAATACATTAGGTTTTCGAGTTATCATGTTCTAAAAATATAAAATTTCTACCCAAAATTACCTTTATGCAAAATATTTATGAAATATTTTCAAAGACAAAGTGGGATAAACCTTAAATGAAGGTTAGGTTTAGGTATAAAGAAGAGCCACTCAATATTGAGCGTTTTAAAAGGGGTATTCGTGATTCTAGTCCCTTTCCACAACAACTATATTGTAAAGATTTGATCTAAAGCTTTTGTCAAAGCTTTAGGTCAAAACACCACCAAAACAGTTGGCTAAATCTGTTCTAAATTTTCTTTACAACAACATTTACCAATCTCCCATCTATGACATTAAAACCCTTTTTATTTTTACATTAATAATATCCCATGAAAAACATTAATAAATTTATTTAAATAAAAAAAAAAAGAAAATCAGCTAAATTTTGTAAGAAAGCAACACACACATACAACATAGTTGCAAATAATAAAAATATTTTTAAAACTAAATTTAAATTTAATAGAATTTTTTTTTTGTTACAAACAAAATAAATGTTTCAAAAAACTAACAAAAGATTTGTTTGCATAAAATTAAAGAGAAAAAAAACGAAAAATGCTTACATCTCTAAAAATTAAAGTAAAAATAAATTGCAAAGCATACAAATAAAGAAATAACTTACAACTAAGAAAAAAAAAAAGAAGAAATAGAAAAATGAAAATAATTAATGAGTTTGATGAAGAGGGAAGGAGGATTGCTAGGAGAATTAGGAGGAGGGATTCGTTCAACAAACACAAAAATTAAGAAATCTTATAATTAAACAATGAATAATAAAGTTTTTTTTTTTTTTTGCAGCAAGACAGTGTTTTTCCATTTTTGATTTTTTTTGTGAAATCTGTTTAAAAACAAATTTTACAATAATAAATTCATGCTTTTGTTTTTTTTAAATATTTTTTTGTTGTTTTGTTTTATTTTGTTTATAGTGTTTTATGTAAAATCTATGTTTAATCTAAGTATAATTTGTGGTTTTGCTATAAGGTATTTTTTTTTTATTTATTTCTTTTTTTAAATTTAATCAGTTATATTGATATTGTATTTATTTATTTTTAACAAATTTTATTTCTATATTTGAAATTATGTGTTTTTTTCTATTAAGTCCACAGTTACATATTTATTTATTTAAGTTTTTTCCTAATATGTTGTTAAATTAGTTTTTTAGTTGTCTGTCATGTGGCATTTGTTGGAATATATTAAGTTTTAATTTTTATTATTAAATTTTATAAATTATATATTTTTTATTTAATTTGTAATTAATTTTAATGAACATGCAAAATTATATAATTTTTTTAAAAAGTTTTTTTTTTTGTTTAAATTGTTTGTTGCGTTTTTTAAGATTTTGTTGTAATTGCTGTTGTTGTGTTCTTTTTTAAGTTAATAGTGTTGCAATTCAGGATGACAACGATGACGACGGCGGGTGGTGTAGTTGGTTGTTGATTTAGTTTAAGAGTTCCTGTTGTTATTTTTTTGATGACAATAATAACGCAACTTTTTTTAATTTATGTTTAAAATTCAAACCCAAACGATTGACCGGTAGGGCCACCACCAAATTGGAAGAAGTGACGGAACATTTGATTAGGATCAAAGTCAGCTAAAACAAAAAGGAAAAAAGAAAATTTTTAAATATCTAGAGAAATCTAGTTCAGATCACGTTCAGTTTTAGTCCAGTTCTAGTTCAGTTTTAGTTCAGTTCTAGTTCAGTTCTAGTTCAGTTCTAGTTCAGTTCTAGTTCAGTTCTAGTTCAGTTCCAGTTCAGTTCCAGTTCAGTTCCAGTTCAGTTCTAGTTCAGTTCTAGTTCAGTTCTAGTTCAGTTCTAGTTCAGTTCTAGTTCAGTTCCAGTTCAGTTCCAGTTCAGTTCCAGTTCAGTTCTAGTTCAGTTCTAGTTCAGTTCTAGTTCAGTTCTAGTTCAGTTCTAGTTCAGTTCTAGTTCAGTTTTAGTTCAGTTCTAGTTCAGTTCTAGTTCAGTTCTAGTTCAGTTCTAGTTCAGTTCTAGTTCAGTTCTAGTTCAGTTCTAGTTCAGTTCTAGTTCAGTTCTAGTTCAGTTCTAGTTCAGTTAGTTCAGTACTAGTTCAGTTTTAGTCCAGTTCTAGTTCAGTTTTAGTTCAGTTTTAGTTCAGTTCTAGTTCAGTTCTAGTTCAGTTCTAGTTCAGTTCTAGTTCAGTTCTCGTTCAGTTCTAGTTCAGTTCTAGTTCAGTTCTAGTTCAGTTTTAGTTCAGTTCTAGTTCAGTTCTAGTTCAGTTCTAGTTCAGTTCTAGTTCAGTTCTAGTTCAGTTCCAGTTCAGTTCTAGTTCAGTTCTAGTTCAGTTCTAGTTCAGTTTTAGTTCAGTTCCAGTTCAGTTCTAGTTCAGTTCCAGTTCAGTTCCAGTTCAGTTCCAGTTCAGTTCTAGTTCAGTTCTAGTTCAGTTTTAGTTCAGTTCCAGTTCAGTTCTAGTTCAGTTCTAGTTCAGTTCCAGTTCAGTTCCAGTTCAGTTCCAGTTCAGTTCTAGTTCAGTTCTAGTTCAGTTCTAGTTCAGTTCTAGTTCAGTTCTAGTTCAGTTCTAGTTCAGTTCTAGTTCAGTTCTAGTTCAGTTCTAGTTCAGTTCTAGTTCAGTTCTAGTTCAGTTCTAGTTCAGTTCTAGTTCAGTTCTAGTTCAGTTCTAGTTCAGTTCTAGTTCAGTTCTAGTTCAGTTCTAGTTCAGTTCTAGTTCAGTTCTAGTTCAGTTCTAGTTCAGTTCTAATTCAGTTCTAATTCAGTTTTAGTTCAGTTTTAGTTCAGATTTATTTCAGTTTTAGTTGAGTTTTAGTTCAGTTTTATTTCAGTTCTAGTTCAATTCTAGTTCAGTTTTATTTCAGTTCTAGTTCAATTCTAGTTCAGTTCTTGTTCAATTCTATTTGAGTCTTTCACTTACCCTGTTCATGTTCTTCCATATCTTGACCACTATCGTAACGCATCTTTTTCCTTTGATCCGACAAAATCGCATAAGCCTCACCAATTTCCTTGAATTTCAACTCCTGCTCTTTACGTTCCTCAGGCGAACTGTTGGCATGACGATCGGGGTGATGTACTAAAGCCTTCTTGCGATAAGCCTTCTTTATCTCCTCTTCGCCGGCATTGCGAGAGACACCCAAAATCTTATAATAATCCTTACGTTTAGATTTCTTCAAAGCAAATTTGGCATCACGCAATAATTTCTTAATCTCCGGAGTCTTTTGAATCTGTAAGGCGGCCTCATAATCATTGACACACTCATCGAATTTCTCGAGATCATTATAGCAACGGGCACGCAACAACAAAGCCTTTAAGTATTTATCATTAATTTCTAAAACACGAGTACAATCAGCCACCGCCTCACGCAGATTATTGATTTTAGAGTGAACCAAGGCGCGATTGTATAAAAGTTTCGAATTGATATCCTTATTGAATTCATCGATTTGTAAGGCATCCGTGTAGACAGCTTGGGCTTCACGATAGCGTCCGGATTTGAACAGAACATTACCGTTCTCTTTCATATCCTTAAGGGTTTTGCTTTTAGTGCGCATCTCTTTGGCTTTTTTATGATCGGGATCCAGTTGTAAGGCCAATTCGAAATGTTTAATGCCCTTCTCCAAATTGTCGGTATAATAGAAACACAAGCCACGTACATAGATGGCATCAGCCGAGGTACTATCCAATTTCATAACACTAATGGCAATGTCAACAGCTTCATCACAGCGACCCAAATAAGCCAAACATTCGGCTTTCAAAAGACGATAACTGAAATATAAAATATATCAAATTGACTCAATTTAAAATGTAATAGAGTTGGCTACAAACCGGTAACATGCTGGCGCTAGTTTAATGGCCGAGTCCAAATAGTAAACTACATTACGATAGGCTTTTGTATCGTAATTAGTTTGTATGGTCTGTTCCAATTGTCTTAGTTGCTGTACAGCCTGTTTCTCAGCATTAACAGCATTACTTTGAGCATCAATTTCTTCTATACGTTTAATTGCCTGTTCGGTGCCAATAATATCACCCTTGGCCACACAACATTTGGCAATACGCACATAGGCCTTTTCAAATTTAGGATCTAAACGCACTGCAGTACGAGCATCATTTAATGCATTCGTATAGTTGGATAACATCATATAACAGGCAGCACGATTGCCATAGTATGTTGCCGAATCGGGACATAGTGATATGGCGTCCGAATAGAATTTCAAAGCGGACTGATAATTTTGTGCTTTGTATTGGTCGTTACCAAGATTTTTCTTTTCTTCAGCAATGCTGTAATTAGAAAGAGAATAGATATAAATAAAGATTAATAGAAATTTAAAGTATTTATTTCTAATAATTTCAAACAATATAACTATACATAAATTCGATCTAATCTATTGTTGTTTTCTAGTCCAATTCAGTTCTAGTTCAGTTCCAGATCAATTATAGTTCTGTTCTCGGATCCAATTCAGTTCTAGTTCAGTTCTAGTTTAGTTCTAGTTCAGTTCTAGTTCAGTTCTAGTTCAGTTCTAGTTCAGTTCTAGTTCAGTTCTAGTTCAGTTCTAGTTCAGTTCTACTTCAGTTCTACTTCAGTTCTAGTTCAGTTCTAGTTCAGTTCTAGTTCTAGTTCAGTTCTAGTTCAGTTCTAGTTCAGTTCTAGTTCAGTTCTAGTTCAGTTCTAATTCTAGTTCAGTTCTAGTTCAGTTCTAGTTCAGTTCTAGTTCAGTTCTAGTTCAGTTCTAGTTCAGTTCTAGTTCAGTCCTAGTTCAGTCCTAGTTCAGTTTCTAGTTCAGTTCTAGTTCTAGTTCAGTTCTAGTTCAGTTCTAGTTCAGTTCTAGTTCAGTTCTAGTTCAGTTCTAGTTTCAGTTCTAGTTCAGTTCTAGTTCAGTTCTAGTTCTAGTTCAGTTCTAGTCAGTTCTAGTTCAGTTCTAGTTCAGTTCTAGTTCAGTTCTAGTTCAGTTCTAGTTCAGTTCTAGTTCAGTTCTAGTTCAGTTCTAGTTCAGTTCTAGTTCAGTTCTAGTTCAGTTCTAGTTCAGTTCTAGTTCAGTTCTAGTTCAGTTCTAGTTCAGTTCTAGTTCAGTTCTAGTTCAGTTCTAGTTCAGTTCTAGTTCAGTTCTAGTTCAGTTCTAGTTCAGTTCTAGTTCAGTTCTAGTTCAGTTCTAGTTCAGTTCCAGTTCAGTTCTAGTTCAGTTCTAGTTCAGTTCTAGTTCAGTTCTAGTTCAGTTCTAGTTCAGTTCTAGTTCAGTTCTAGTTCAGTTCTAGTTCAGTTCTAGTTCAGTTCTAGTTCAGTTCTAGTTCAGTTCTAGTTCAGTTATAGTTCAGTTATAGTTCAGTTATAGTTCTAGTTCAGTTCTAGTTCAGTTCTAGTTCTAGTTCAGTTCTAGTTCAGTTCTAGTTCAGTTCTAGTTCAGTTCTAGTTCAGTTCTAGTTCAGTTCTAGTTCAGTTCTACTTCAGTTCTAGTTCAGTTCTAGTTCAGTTCTAGTTCAGTTCTAGTTCAGTTCTAGTTCAGTTCTAGTTCAGTTCTAGTTCAGTTCTAGTTCAGTTCTAGTTCAGTTCTAGTTAGTTCTAGTTCCAGTTCTAGTTCTAGTTCAGTTCTAGTTCAGTTCTAGTTCAGTTCTAGTTCAGTTCTAGTTCAGTTCTAGTTCAAGTTCTAGTTCAGTTCTAGTTCAGTTTCAGTTCAGTTTCTTAGTTCAGTTCTAGTTCAGTTCTAGTTCAGTTCTAGTCAGTTCTAGTTCAGTAGTTCTAGTTCAGTTATAGTTCAGTTTAGTTCTAGTTTCAGTTCTAGTTCAGTTCTAGTTAATTCTAGTCGTTCTAGTTCAGTCATAGTTTCAGTTCTAGTTCAGTTCTACTTCAGTTCTAGTCAGTTCTTTCTAGCTTTCTAGTTTCAGTTCAGTTCAGTTCTAGTTCAGTTCTAGTTCAGTTCTAGTTCAGTTCTAGTTCAGTTCTAGTTCAGGTTCAGTTAGTTCTAGTTCAGTTCTAGTTCAGTTCTAGTACAGTTCTAGTTCCAGTTCTAGTTCAGTTCTAGTTCAGTTCAGTCAGTTCTAGTCAGTTCTAGTTCAGTATTAGTTTCAGTTCTAGTTCAGTTCTAGTTCATGTTTTCAGTGCCGTTCTAGTTCAGTTCTAGTTCAGTTTAGTTCAGTTCTAGTTCAGTTCTAGTTCAGTTCTAGTTCAGTTCTAGTTCAGTTCTAGTTCAGTTCTAGTTCAGTTCTAGTTCAGTTCTAGTTCAGTTCTAGTTCAGTTCTAGTTCAGTTCTAGTTCAGTTCTAATTCAGTTCTAGTTCAGTTCTAGTTCAGTTCTAGTTCAGTTCTAGTTCAGTTCTAGTTAAGTTCTAGTTCAGTTCTAGTTCAGTTCTAGTTCAGTTCTAGTTCAGTTCTAGTTCAGTTCTAGTTCAATTCTAGTTCAGTTCTAGTTCAGTTCTAGTTCAGTTCTAGTTCAGTTCTAGTTCAGTTCTAGTTCAGTTCTAGTTCAGTTCTAGTTCAGTTCTAGTTCAGTTCTAGTTTAGTTCTAGTTCAGTTCTAGTTCAGTTCTAGTTCAGTTCTAGTTCAGTTCTAGTTCAGTTCTAGTTCAGTTCTAGTTCAGTTCTAGTTCAGTTCTAGTTCAGTTCTAGTTCAGTTCTAGTTCAGTTCTAGTTCAGTTCTAGTTCAGTTCTAGTTCAGTTCTAGTTCAGTTCTAGTTCAGTTCTAGTTCAGTTCTAGTTCAGTTCTAGTTCAGTTCTAGTTCAGTTCTAGTTCAGTTCTAGTTCAGTTCTAGTTCAGTTCTAGTTCAGTTCTAGTTCAGTTCTAGTTCAGTTCTAGTTCAGTTCTAGTTCAGTTCTAGTTCAGTTCTAGTTCAGTTCTAGTTCAGTTCTAGTTCAGTTCTCGTTCAGTTCTAGTTCCGTTCTAGTTCAGTTCTAGTTCAGCTCTAGTTCAGCTCTAGTTCAGTTCTAGTTCAGCTCTAGTTCAGTTCTAGTTCAGCTCTAGTTCAGTTCTTGTTCAGTTCTAGTTCAGTTCAGTTCTAGTTCAGTTCTAGTTCAGTTCTAGTTCAGTTCTAGTTCAGTTCTAGTTCAGTTCTAGTTCAGTTCTAGTTCAGTTCTAGTTCAGTTCTAGTTCAGTTCTCGTTCAGTTCTAGTTCCGTTCTAGTTCAGTTCTAGTTCAGCTCTAGTTCAGCTCTAGTTCAGTTCTAGTTCAGCTCTAGTTCAGTTCTAGTTCAGCTCTAGTTCAGTTCTTGTTCAGTTCTAGTTCAGTTCAGTTCTAGTTCAGTTCTAGTTCAGTTCTAGTTCAGTTCTAGTTCAGTTCTAGTTCAGTTCTAGTTCAGTTCTAGTGCAGTTCTAGTTCAGTTCTAGTTCAGTTCTAGTTCAGTTCTAGTTCAGTTCTAGTTCAGTTCTAGTTCAGTTCTAGTTCAGTTCTAGTTCAGTTCTAGTTCAGTTCTAGTTTAGTTCTAGTTCAGTTCTAGTTCAGTTCTAGTTCAGTTCTAGTTCAGTTCTAGTTCAGTTCTAGTTCAGTTCTAGTTCAGTTCTAGTTCAGTTCTAGTTCAGTTCTAGTTCTAGTTCAGTTCTAGTTCAGTTCTAGTTCAGTTCTAGTTCAGTTCTAGTTCAGTTCTAGTTCAGTTCTAGTTCAGTTCTAGTTCAGTTCTAGTTCAGTTCTAGTTCAGTTCTAGTTCAGTTCTAGTTCAGTTCTAGTTCAATTCTAGTTCAGCTCTAGTTCAGCTCTAGTTCAGCTCTAGTTCAGTTCTAGTTTAGTTCTAGTTCATTTCTAGTTCAGTTCTAGTTCAGTTCTAGTTCAGTTTTAGTTCAGTTCTAGTTCAGTTCTAGTTGGGTTCTAGTTCAGTTCTAGTTCAGTTCTAGTTCAGTTCTAGTTCAGTTCTAGTTCAGTTCTAGTTCAGTTCTAGTTCAGTTCTAGTTCAGTTCTAGTTCAGTTCTAGTTTAGTTCTAATTCAGTTCTAGTTCAGTTCTAGTTGAGTTCTAGTTCTAGTTGAGTTCTAGTTCAGTTCTAGTTCTTTTATCTTTTAAACGCTATATATCCCTATGCAAATAAATATGAAGTAACCATACATGTATTTATCTTCTCTTGATCCTTGCATCAAGCCGCACGAAATACCGACTACGTACTCATCCTTGTTAAAGATTTGATGAATGAATAAATGAATGTGTTTAAAATTCATGTAAAACGAGAATACCAAAATATTTTGTTGTTAAAAAATACTTTTTTGTTAAAATACCATCAAACAACATGTCAATTTTGATTTCCGCTTTCATTCATCAGTTAAGTCAAACAGACAGTCAGTATGTCCGTCTGTCAGCCATTAAGTTTGTTGCGAGTTTTTCTAGATGTTGCAATTACGTTTTGGGTTCATTCTGACAGTGATATGGATAGTAATACTAGGGTCGTTCGTTCTGTATATTTATGACTGCAATTTTTTCACCTGCTCTGCTGCAGTATTCAGTTTTATCTATTTGAATGAAAATATTTTTTTTATATATGAATTTGACTTATCAAGCATTGAACTTTAACAGGTACAACAAAGTTTTCGTTATGACTGACTATATATAGAAATGAACATCAACTTTTTGTTGCTGTTGGTTTTTGTGGCATGTTGCAAGTATATAACTTTTGGCCATAAATTAACCAAGGAAATACATATCTGCAACATATTTAACCATTATCCAAATCTACAATAGCTATGGCAAAAAAAAACAACAAAAACTGTTGGCAAAATATTAATGATAAACCTTATAAATGTTAAGCTACTAGCTGTGTTTTTGGTTCGTTTGTATGTTATTTATAGGAACATTGAAAAATCCTTTTACAAGAAAGAAAAGAAAACCAAAGACAAGATGTAATGTTACTCTGTAATTATACACATATTTATAGCATACAAAAATAATGAATGGATTACAAGTTCTATAGATACTCTTCAGACAGACTGAAACAAACAGTTTTGTAAATTATTTTTGTCGAATATAATATAAAAGCAAAAACAATTAAGAATGCTAACGACTTTATAATACCCTTCTCTTTTTTCCTTTATTTTGTATCGCATTGGAAAGATCTTTGACATAGATGGCCAAAAATTTGGATTTTTCAAACTTTGAGCACGTGTTAACGTCTATTAATCGAGCTCAAATTTCGGAAAGGGGAATCATTTTGTGAGGTTAAGACGAACAAGATTCCGACATTTTTTCTCCCCATATAAGATCCGGTCAGTCTAATGTACATATATGTATGTAAGTACTTTATTTTGGCGTTTGCCGTTTTTTGTTTGGTGGGATATAAAAAGATTGAATTCTTCAATCAGTTTGTGTAACACATCGAAATAGTGGTCTTATACCCATAAGAGTATATATTCTGGGTCCTCACCAGAATCTTTCGTC